CCATTGCAGGTTGTGCCAGGCAGCTGTGGCTCCATGCAGACAGCAGCCTGATGCCTTTCCTGCCCCCCCATGCCCTCCCTCAGACATAATTTGCCATTGCCCTCTGCACCATCCACAGTGACTCACACCACTGGCTATTGCTGCTGGTCTCACCTGCTGGTGCTTTGCACTCACTGTGCCCTGGCAGAGAAGACTGGACAGAAGTGACATCTTCAGAACAGGTTTCAGAGGGGTAGCTGTGTTAGTCTGTACCAGTAAAACCACAAGGACTCCTCGTTGTTTGTACCTTCAGAACAGGGGCTAGCTAGGCAGCATAGGCCTCAGTTTACATTAGTGAAAAGTGGATGCACTTCCTTTTTCTGGTGTGAGCAACCACACAGTGGGGCAGGGAGCTGGGCACAGGCTTTTATCTTCCCCTGTTCTCAGCAGCTGCAAAGCCACCTCACAAACAGCTGATATTTTGCTAAGGCAGAGGCATCACCAGGGTCCACTGTCACACACACACGCTTCCAAGTGCTGAGTGTCGGAGCAAGTTTTGACTCTTGGGAAGATATGCCGTGTGGCTGTTAGTTTGGGACTATGCAAATTCTGCATAGAGGCAGCTTTGGGAGCCAGGGAGCTGTGCAAGGCAGAGTGGCGCCATGGGAACTGGTGGTGATTCCTGGGAGAAGGGCTTTCCCTACGTATTGTTTGCCCACCACTGTTCCAGGACTAGCTGTAGGTGGGTAAACAAAGCCGGTTCAACTTAAACTGTATCCAGGTTCCATGTCACAGCTTTCTGTCCACTAATAATCTGACATGCAGGGCCTGGGACACCTGCTGCCACTGTCTGGAAGAGATGCACTGTACTGGGTTCAGTGCAGGGGGAACTGGGTGAAAGAATGTGGCCTGTTTTAGACTGGATAGAATGGTCCCATCTGGGCTTACGCTCAGGCTCTGTGAGTGTAATGCTGACAGACCCCGGTTGTTGGCAGGCAGGATCGAACCTGGGACCTCAGTGCATGAGTCTCTACAGCAGGAACTAGCAGTCTCATTTTCTCTCTCTTTCTCTAAGTGGTCTCAGTGCCGCTAGATGGGGGACAACGCCACACCCAGGAGGTGTGTAGGTTACATGAGCACCCAACCCCTGCTGTAGCCCAGGGCTGTGGGTTTGGCGCTCGGGCACATCTGGGGCATTTCTAGGCCAAGCCTTTGGAACGTGCTGGGGCCACCTGACTTTGTTTTCCAGCCAGCGCTGGGGTTTGGCTTGTGAATGACTCAGCCGCGGCCTGAGCTTTCACAATCCGAAACCTCAAGCTGAAAAAAGAAAACGCCAGGGAGGGGAAGATGGAATTGGGTTTCTCAGCAAAAACGAAGCATTTCTCAATGCAGGCTGCTTATAAGAGAAGAAGGAGCTGGCGATACAGACCCTGCCAGGAGCGGTTCCTAGTGGGCAGAGCTCAAGCAGCCTGGAGAAGAGCGTGTGCGACTGCAGGGGGATGAACTGAGCTTCAGAGCAGTGAAGGCAGATAACCTCCAGCTCTGGCAGGGCTCCTCCCAGCCAGGCCCCACAGGGACCCCTTTGTGCTGCCTCCAGCCTGGGGAGCCCAACTGGGGCTGGGCCTACCCCAGTGGAGTTGGGCGGAGTCAGTGATGGAGCTGGCATCTCCTGGGGTGGGGAACTGGCCAGTGGGGGAAGGACTCGGGCTCCGCATGGGCTGCATTTCCTTTTCCTGGCCACAGGAATTTCCCCTGGTGTGGAGGGGCTGAACACTGCAAATGCCTGAGGGGGAGGAAGGGGAAGGGGGAGGGAGAGGCAGCTGCAGAGGAGACAAAAAAGAGATTCCTTTGGGAAAGGTGTTGGGAAACAAGTCCTAACAGTGGGTGCTGAGGGGGGGAGAGATGGAGGAGGGGGCGAGGTGGGGGGTTGATCGTAGGGTTGCCAGTTTTGTTTGGAGTCTGGATTCCAGGGAGAAACTGTTGAATTGGAATTCATTTGCAAATTGGATACAATTAACTTAGGCTTGAATAGAGACTGGGAGTGGCTAAGTCATTATGCAAGGTAACCTATTTCCCCTTGTTTTTTCCTACCCCCCCCCCAGACGTTCTTGTTAAACTCTGGATTTGTGCTGGAAATGGCCCACCTTGATTATCATACACATTGTAAGGAGAGGTTTCAGAGTAACAGCCGTGTTAGTCTGTATTCGGAAAAAGAAAAGGAGACTAACCAATTTATTTGAGCATGAGCTTTCGTGAGCTACGAAAGCTCATGCTGAAATAAATTGGTTAGTTTCTAAGGTGCCACAAGTACTCCTTTTTTTTTATTGTAAGGAGAGTGATCACTTTAGATAAGCTATTACCAGCAGGAGAGTGGGGTGGGGGGAGGTATTTTTTCATGCTTTGTGTGTATAAAAAGATCTTCTACACTTTCCACAGTATGCATCCGATGAAGTGAGCTGTAGCTCACGAAAGCTTATGCTCAAATAAATTGGTTAGTCTCTAAGGTGACCCAAGTACTCCTAATCTTTAATTAAAGATTAAGCTTTAATTCCTATAACCTCCAGGACAATTCCTGGAGGGTTGGCAACACTAGGGGAGTCCACTCCCAGGGAGGAGGGCTAGGGCTCTGTGGGCTGGGGGAGGGGCTGGGAGCCCCAGATCTGGGGGGGGGCTGTGAGCGCAGGGAATCACTTGCCCGTGGGAAGTGTCAGGAGAGCCATCACTCCGGCTATGCTGGGCCCGCTGACAATGGAGTTTTCCAGCAGCCTCTCCAGCCAAACCACCTCCACTCCTAAACCAGGTTGCCCAGGGCAGACGCAGGCCAAACCAGCAGGAGCCTGGCTCAGTTCACAGGGCTCCTGGCAGCGGCAGGCAGTGAACGCTCTTAGTGCAACTCGGCCAAATGGGTCTAGGCCTGTCCCCAAAGGCTCCGGGAAACCTCCAAGTCCACAGGCCTTGGCTCAGAGACAGCATCTGCAGGTGGGGCCGGCTGGGTCAGTCACTGCCTGGCCCTCTGCCCCTGGGGGTGGTAGGGTGACCACACAGCAAATGTGAAAAATCAGGACGGGGGTGGGGGGGTAACAGGAGCCTATATAAGAAAAAGACCCAAAAATTGGGACTGTCCCTATAAAATCGGGACATCTCGTCACCCTAGGGGGTGGGTGGGTAGACTAGAGGGGATGTCCCTGTAGGTGGGCATCAACCCTTGATGATAATAACAGCCCCCCCCAGGGCATGCATGGACTGTAGGGGATGAGCCCCCCTAACCTCCGGGGAGGAACAGACTGTAGGGGACCATCCCAGCCCCTGCCCCCTGAAGCCCCTTTCCCTCCCTCCCACTGCACTTTTTCTTTTATCCTGGCCTGACTGACTTTCTTTAACCTCCCCGCTGTGCCTGTCTGTCTGTGTCCATCTCTCTCTGCAGAAGTGGCATCAGTTTCACTGAAGCTGTGGTTTTCCGTAGGTTTGTTTAAGGTGGTAAAAATATGGATGAAGCTGAACTGAAATGACTCCTGAGCTTGCAGCATTTGGTGTGTTTTCTTACATCTCCAGCTCCTGGAGTCCTGTGATGTATGGGAGATTCTTGGCTTTAATTTAAACAAATCCAGTACATTTCTGGCCCCCTGGCTTTGGAGAAAAGTACCAGTACAGGCTCATATACCAGAGGGCAAAGCAGGAGGCAGTGCTGGGGGCAGAGGGGATATAGCTCTGAAGGCACAGCAGCGAGAGCAGGGGCTGCTGACTGGGCACCCAGTTCCAGCAGCAGCAGAGAAGTTAGCCCGAGGTAGCCTGTGTCCCCACCCACCAGGGCATGCTGTCCAGGGCAGGAGGGTCTGGGGCTTCCCACAGAAGCCTGGACTGACCCGCTCTGGCCCAGGTTCCTGGGACCCTCCCCCTGCGGTCACTGCTCCCCAGGACTCCGCTGGCTCCGAATACAGGTCCCTCTGCCTGGGCAGCTTTTACTGGTTGCAAGCAGCCAGCACTCTGGCCTCTGAGCTGGTCAGGGGGCAGGGCCACAGAGAGGGATGGGGCCTCGTGGCAAGGAGAGGTACAGCTCACCAATTTTGTCTGGCCCATCTCAGCCCCCCCACCCCCACTAGGAAGAGGCTGGTGCTTCCCATGGGGCAAAGGCACAATATTATCATTATTTTTATTACCACAAAGCTCAGGCACCCTAGTACCCCACTGTGTCAGGTGCTGCACAGCCAGAGCAAAGAGCTGGTCCCTGCCCCACGGAGCTTACAGTCCAAGTATCAGAGGAGAGACACCACCAGGGCAGGGGGGGTGGCGAGCACAAGACAACACAGAGACAATAACGGAGCAGAGCCCAACAGGTATTGGGGTTTACAGCTTCATGACTTTTCAGCTGAGCTCCTGTTTCTTTGGGGTCCGGCGAATGCGATTAGCCTACGTGGGGCTGGCGATCCCCAAGGGCACTAGTGTAAGCCCCCCCAGCTAAATAAACGCTTCTGGAGGATACTAACAGGGAATCCCAGCTGACACACTGGGTGTGACCCCCCACCCTGCTGCACCTGGGGGGAGGGGGTAGCTTGGTCTGTGCCCCAAACTAGGCACTGGAGGGACACACTGGCCCTTCCCCGCCCCATGCTGATTGTCTGTTTGCTCCACCCCCACCCCCCTTTCCCATCTTCACTCCGCCCCTGCCCCTCACCGCCCCTGCCTTTTCCCCCTCACCCCCTTCCCTTTTCTTCTCATTTAGCTGATCTCCTCCTACTAAACCCAGCCAAGACTAGACACCATGAACATGCCATTTGTGGCCAGTACTTTGGTCACGGGCTGGGGCTGTCTGGCAGGCCCTGTCCCCCACGCTGTTTGTGCAGCGCTCAGCACAACGGGGCCCTGGTCTTGGGGGTCCTTAGGCATGGCCATGAGCTCCTTGATTTGTAATAACAGCTCTTCCCCCACCCCTGGTTGCTCCCCAGCTGGGTTTTCATTTCCCCATGGCACAGACTAATAATTAAGAGGCCCTGGAAGAGCAGGGAGGGAGGGGTCAGGTTTCCCCCCCACCAGGCAGAGGGGGCGGATGACGGAGGCAGGATGGTTTATAGGGAGCTGGAGCTCGGGAAGCTGCATCCCAGCTCCGGAGATTGCTTAATTCCAGCTGCAGTGAGTGGGGCTAGGGTGGCGTGTGGAGGCAGTGGGACTGGAGGGGTGCACAAAGAGGGGAATGGGGGCTTGTTCGCCAAGATGGGGGACCTGGTGGGGAGGGCAGGGAGCTCAGTGGAGTGAGGACGGGTAGAGGGGTCTGGGGGATGCATTTGAGCGGACTGCAGGCTTGGGGCTGTAACTCCCTGAGTGGAAGAACCCACTTCCCTCTGGCATTAACTTGACCTCCCCAGAGGATATGGGGCAAATAGGGACCTGTGGGGTATGTGTGGGGCGGGGAATGTGGGGGGAGAGACAGAGATTCTTGTGGGGAACAGGGCACTGTGCAGAGAGAACCAAGGGGGGAGGAGAGGAGGTTTGTGGGATGTGTGGGGTTCATGGAGGTGTTTGTGGGGGGCATGATAATGTGGGAGTAGAGGGAGGCAGTTGGGGTCCATGTGCGATTTGGGGGGGGTGTCTATCCGGGGGAGATGGGACCAATTCAGGTTCAGGGGAGGCAGTGGGGTCCATGTGGGGTTAGGGGGGTGTCAGTGTGGGGGGGCACTGCAGGATCAGGGAAAGAAGTGGGGTCTGTGGGGGAGAGGCAGTGGGGCCCATGTGGGGTTGAGGCAGGTCTGTGGGGGGGCACTGCAGGATCAGGGGAGGAGTGGGGTCTGTGTGGGGGGAGGTAGTGGGGTCCGTGTGGGGTGCGGGGGTGTCTGTGCAGGGGGGGACCAGTGGTACTGGAACAATTTTTATACTGGGGATGCTGAGAGCCATTGAACCAAACTGTAAACATGGGCTATAATGGAAACTACTTCAAGCCAGAGGGTGCAGCAGCAGCCCTAGTTCTAGCAGCTAGGGGGGGACCACGGTAGGATTAGGGGAGGCAGTGGAGTCCATGGGGGGGTGTTCGTGGGGGGGCACTGCAGGGTCAGGGGAGGAGTGGGGTCTGTGTGGGGCGAGACAGAGGGGTCCATGTGGGGCTGCAGGGGTGTCTGTGCAGGGGGGCACTGCAGGATCAGGGGAGGAAGTGGGGTCCATGTGGGGTTGGGTGGGTGTCTCGGCGAGGGCCGTGTAATCCGCAGCCAGAGGCACTGGCTAGGTCCCTACCCCAGGGTAGGTCAGTGCATTTGGGACCAGTCTCGAGGTCACATCCTCCCCCCCTCTGCACAGGGACACACCAAGTCCAGTGACCATGCGGCCTGCAGTGTCCATTTCTCTGATCCTCGTGGCTCTGACGGTCCTGGCAGGTAAGAGCCCCGATTCCTCAGGGAAACAGAGCTGGGTCAATGGGGGTCTCAGAGCCTGGGGGAGGAGATTGTGCGTGTGAGAGGGGAGGGAGAGAGCCAGGGGAAGGGTGTGGGCCAGGGTGAGAGAGGAGCAGGGAGCATGTCAGACCAGTCTATCCAGTCTCTGCCTCGCCCATGGTGGGCAGCACTGATCTTTGCTGCGTGTTCATGCAGCGCCCGCCCCCATGGGACCAACAGCTGCCCTAGCAACACCTCAGTAGAGATTATAAATAACTCTGTGGCTCAGGGATGCCGGGGATCTTGTCAGCAACAGTGGGGCTCATTGAAACCAGGGCCATGCGTTTTGCACCTGCAGTGTGCCACGTGTGTGTGCACGTGCATGCAATGTGCCAGGGTGTGCATGCATGTGTGCAATGTGCCGTGTGTGTGTAAAACCACAAACAGGAGCAGCTCCACATCTGAAGCAAATTACATCTCTGAGCTGCCAGAACCAAACAGTAGCCCTGAGACTTCTGAAAAAAGCTAAAATCTCCACAGGCTGCTACTCAGCAACCCAGCTCCAACCACCCCAGCGTCTGTGTGGAGTCTGGGGTGGGCAGGGCTGAGGGAGCGCGATGGGTGGTCTGGCATTTAAAGTGGATCAAGGGTGATTAACCTCAAGCAACACAAAGTCTCCCAGGGGCTCCAGAGCCAGGTACCAGAAGCAGAAAAGCTAACTGTGAAAAGGGCTGAGAATTCACCCCGTGACAAGCGTGTTTCAGAGACTATGGGGAAACACCCCCAAGGCACAGAATGACGAGATCAGGGCCCCACCGTGCTGGGCACTGGACTGACACAAAGAGCTGACCATGTACATGCACACACCCCCCTGGCACCTTGCTCACATGGGCACACACACAAACACCCCTCCTCCTCCAGCACATTGCACGAGCACGCTCACAAACACACGCCCTGGCACACTGCACGGGTGTGGTGAGTCGAGTTTAGGCTGTAGGCATTCTCCGTCTCCCTTTCAGACTCCGCTCAGGCTCAACCGACAGAGCTAACCCTGTCCGAAAAGTTTGAGAACTTCCAGAACAGGCTGCAGGCCTTTGCTGACAGCATTGCAGATAGAACCAAAGCTGCCTTCCAAGAACTGCATCACAGCGAGCTGAGCGAAAAGACCCGGTGAGTCACAGGGGCCTCGGTGTGGCGGCAGGGCTCCTGCAGAAACCAGTGACACTGCGACTGTCACCTGGAGCTAAGCAGAGGTGGGGCCTGTTCCAGGCTTGGCTGGGAGGCTGCAGGAAGAGTTTGTACTGGGGGGAGGGGGAGGTGCTGCAGGAGATGCTCTTCCCAGCCCACCCACACAATCAGCTCCAGCCAATTGTGCAGTGCCATGACCCCCCTGCTCTGGTCTCACAGGACAGTTGACATTGTAAATGATGTTGACATTTAAATTAGCACTGCTGAGCATGAGTTAACTCCTCAGTGAGATCCCCTGCAGGCTTTCTGCAGACTCAGGCAGATGTCACTGCGCTGGTCACGCTTGGGACAGATCCCCCCTCTCGGAGCTCAGGCAGGGACTGGCGCTCACTCTGTGTGCGCTGCACCTGGCAAAGGAGCACCAGACCTCAGTCAGGGCCGGTGCGGTGCTGGCAGGATGGAAGCTTGACCTTGGTCAGGGTCTGTGCAGCGCTTGGTGGCACTATGGGGCCTCTGAGCTAGGTCACTACTGAAATATGAATAATGTATCATGTGAAGCAATCCCACGATTGGGAAGTGTGGCGAAATCCAGCTGGCTGAGAGGCGCAGCAGATAAACTAGTACGATTTAGTTCACAGTTGGGACTGAGCTGGCCTCATTATCCTCACAGCTCCCAGGAGAGGCGGCTACACTAGAAAGGAAACACCCATTCCTTAGTCATGTGTCAAAATCACTGTAATTAACTGTAATTAACTATAACGACCAGGTGGCTGCTGAGATTTGCCAGCATCTACCAGAGGGATGCTGGCTCTGTTAGCTGCTCCTAGACGGTAGTGTCAAAAATCAGGGCAGCTTTGCACTGTTCCCAAGGGCAAAGCCCAGGGATTCTCAGCCATCCCCTTTACAAACCTCTCAGTCATTCCCATAGTAGCATCTGTGGAAGTGGGGGGTGAGGAAATGCAGGATCCTAACACACTGGCTGATGTTGCCTCTGCCTCCCCTTGTCTCACAGGAACTGGTTCTCTGAGCAATTCCAGAAGATGAAGGAGAAGTTCAATGAGAAGTTTTCCAGGGACAGATCTGACTGAGAAGGGATTTTTTCTGCAGAGCTCACAGGCAATTCCTGGGGTACTGGTCCCCTTGAAGAGATCATGCTGGGAGGGGAACCCAGGGTTGGCACCCACGTTCCTGTTTTTTATTGCTTTTTTTGTAGCCATGAATAAATGCTCATTGCCTTAGTGCTGGATTTGTATCCAGGGGTTGCTTGGTCGTTCCTGCACAGAACATGCTCATTAGGGAGAGGCCTCAAAATTCTCTCAGTCTCACTTTGCTTTTTCCGTCCTGTTATTCTCAGTGCCCCCTCCCGCTTGTCCCATGGATCACCTGAAATCATTCTGTGGTACCTGGTGTTCATGCAGTTCACATGGCCTCTCATGTGAGCTCCCCTGCTCCTTACCTGTCCCTTATCCAAACTGAGCAGGTTTTGCCTTTCAGTCTCTGCTAACCAAGCCCAGTGATTTCTGTGCCATTGCTCTGAATTCCCTCCAGTTTGTCACCTCTCTGGGCCTGAGACCAGGATTCTAACTGCAGGACACAGCAGAGGGTTTGGGACCTTTCCTGCACCCCCCTGTCACTGTTACAACCTCGTATCTCATGTGCTGGGTATATAGTTCTGCACATATACAGCATGGATCCAAATACAGGTGTGGCCACCGTTCTCCAGCTCTGGTAGCCACATTTTGTAAAGGATGCAGAAAAACTGTAGAGGGTGCAAAAAATAGCTGCAAAAATTATCCAAATACACAAAACTGTTCCTTGAAAAAAAGCCTCACAGGGAGCAACTGAAAGGGGCCAATCTGTTTCACTGATTAAAAAGACTAGCAAGGGGTGACTTGATCGAGGTATAAAAGCACATTCACAGAGGCTGAGAAAATAGCAGGTATTAAAGATCTCTTTTATCCAGCAGAGAAAGGCAGAAAAAGACCCAGCAGCTGGAAGTTAAAGGCAGACACATTTAAATTAGAAACCAGGTGTAAATTTGAACAGTGAAGGCAGTTAACCTTTGGCACAAACTCCCAAGGGAAGTGGAGGATTCTCCATCCCTTGCTGGTGCCTTGCTGGAAGATGCTTTAGTCCAATGCGAGTTATTGGGCTCAGCACAGGGGTAACTGGGGGCAGCTTTCTCCTCACTGTATTTTCCAGTGAATGCTGTAATGATGAAGTGAGCTGTAGCTCACGGAAGCTTATGCTCAAATAAATTGGTTAGTCTCTAAGGTGCCACAAGTCCTCCTTTTCTTTTTTGTGGCCTGTGTTATGCAGGAAGTCAGGCTAGATGATCTGATGGTCCCTTTGGGCTCAGTATTTATTAATCAAGCCAGAGGGTTATTTTTCTAAAGACAGACATTTAGGCGAAAGTGGTGAGGGATGGGGTGTACACAGTAACTCTTCATTTAACGTTGTCCTGGTTAACCTTGTTTGGTTGCTGAGCAATTAGGGAACATGCTCTTTAAAGTTGCGCAATGCTCCCTTATAACATTGTTTGGCAGCGGCCTGCTCTGTCCACTGCTTGCAGGAAGAGCAGCCCCTTGGAGCGAGCTGGTGGGGGCTTGGAACCAGGGTGGGCCGGCAGTCCCCCTGTCAGCTCCCCGCTCCCCCAAGTTCCCTATGCAGCAGCCGCCCAGCAGGCTTGCAATTGCCGGCAGTTCAGGTGCGCTGCTCCTGCCCTCTGCCTTGGAGCTGCTTCTGGGAGCCTCCTGCTTGCTGTGCGGGGGGAGGGAGAGAAGAGGGGTGCTAATGTCAGGGTGTCCCCCTCCCCCTGCTCCTGCCCCCACTCCTGTACCTCATCTCCACAGAGCAGGGGCGGGGACACGACAAGGCTCAGACTGGAGGGCGCTTTGCGGGCAGCAGCAGCTGTCTCAACTTGCTGATCTACTTAAAAAGGCAGGGTACTTAGAGTGGGGTCAGTGTACTCCCCCCCCCCACACACACTGTGTGTCCATCCCCCCCCCACTGTCTCTCTCTGCCATTTTCGGGCTGCCTTGTAGCGTGTGAGGTTACACTAACAACATGTTAACCCTTGAGGGCTCAGCCACGTGCTAGTTCATCATTTAGCAGCAAGGCAACCCCTGGGAAATAGCCCCCCCCCCGACTCCTCCACCTCAACCAAGCTTCACAATCCTCATTGCTGTGTGTGATGCATCCGATGAAGTGAGCTGTCGCTCACGAAAGCTCATGCTCAAATAAATTGGTTAGTCTCTAAGGGGCCACAAGTCCTCCTTTGCTTATTGCTGTGTACAGTATTAAATTGTTTGTTTAAAATGTACACTGTATATATATATATATATATTTCATCCCTTTTGCCTTGCCAGACTTAGCGCTCCCTCCTCTAGCAGGGACAGGGCCTGAGGTAAATCAGCCCCACTCTGGAGCGTGTCTATCTTCCCTCTTCGGGGTTTGTTTCTCAGAGCCTTCCCAGTAGGCCCTGGGGCAGGCCTGAGGAGTGCTCCTCTACCAAACAAAGGGGAAAAGTCTATAATGCACTGAAACAAAAGGGGAATACCTTTCCCTGGCTCCCTAACTGGGGCAGGTGTTCTCCTGTCACTGGCCCCAGGGTATCAGTCTTTCCCCTAAACAGGCACTGGGTTTTGGGTGTCTCCCCTATGGGGAAGGGCACAGTCTCTCACACTGGAGAAGCTTATCTCCCTGCTGCCTCCAGCCTTGTGCAGTTTGTCTCCCTCCCTCCGGAAAGAGGTTTTAACAGGTTTCAGGCCGCCCTTAATTGGACTCAGGTGTCCCTAACTGACCTGAAGTAACCCCTTCCCAGCTTGTAGGAAAAAGGGCCTTTAGCATTCTAGGGCCAACATACCGGTTTTCTTTAAAATGTTTTCCCTGGACCCTAACCCCCCACATTTACATGAATTCTTATGGGGAAATTGGATTCGCTTAACATTCTTTCGCTTAAAGTAGCATTTTTCAGGAGCAGAACTACAACATGTGAATCTCACCATAAAATCTTTAACCCAATAAATACTGACACAAAAGGCAGAGCCTGGACACTAGGGGGCTCTCTAAACTCACCAACAAAGGCAGAACAAGATCTAATGGCCGAGAGTCAAGGTGAGAAAATTTCAAACTGGAAACAAAGCAGGGATTTGTAACAGCGTGAGGGAATAGCCACTGGAACAGCCTCTCTCGGGGTGTCACTTTAAATCAAGACGGGGGTGGGAAAGAGGTCTTTCTTAGCCGCAATCTGCACTGCAAACTTGTGAGCCACATCACATGGCTAGACTGGCCTAACCCTCGCTGTAGACTCTATCGACAGGAGGGGTTCTCCTGTCCTGGGAGGTGGGGTACCTGCGTCGCCAGGAGACGCTCGCCGCTGGTGTAGGTAGCACAGAAGGGGCTAAGAGCGACAGCAGTGCAGGTGTGCAGCTGCAGTTCTGTAAGTGTAGACAAGCCCTTAGATCCAGCACCAATGTCTCGTCTCCATTGCCTGCTGCGTGCACTGACTGCGGGGAAGCGAGTTTGGGTTTGCACTTTGCAGCAGCCTCAGTTCACCCCCAAGGTGGGCTGCCAACACTCCCTCATTTCAAGAGGCAGCCCTTATTTCTTCATCTCTGTCCAACAAGATCGGGAGTTGCTGGGTGCTGCAAAAAGCAGCAAGAAACACCCCCGGCGAATGGAGGCGAGCCGTACTTAGTATTACTATTTATAATAACAATGATGATAACAATATCAGGAGGAGTGCGGGGAGAGGGGCTAAGAAAACAGTCCCTGATTTTGGCAATACAGTGTTGGCACCCCTAACCACAAGTCACTGGGGGTGGCCTGGGTTAAGCAGGTCTGCGGAGATGATCACAGGGCTCCTTTGGGAGGGTCAGCTCCTCAGCTACTGTAAATCACTTTGTGACCCATTTCAGAGTAACAGCCGTGTTAGTCTGTATTCGCAAAAAGAAAAGGAGTACTTGTGGCACCTTAGAGATTAACCAATTTTGGTTAGTCTCGAAGGTGCCACAAGTACTCCTTTTCTTTTTGTGACCCATGTGATTGTGTTTTAAACTGATCCAGAAAAGCTGGTTGATAAATTACCAGGAGCAAATATTGCAAAAGCTCTGAGCAAAGTGACCTTGGGAGCAGGAGTTTAGCTCCCAGCAACCTTATTCTTTGGGATACTTAAATAAACAGCCCTTTGGACCCCCCAGATGTCAGCAGCCTGTCAGAGAGCAGCTGACCTCAGTGTCTCTGCTTGGAGTGCCTGTTCCACACACAGGTTCTGCACTAGTAGCTTTAATTTGGGGTTTTTAATGAGATAGTTACACCAGTACAACCCCGCATGTGGGTGCAGTTATATCGCTATAATGGTGCCTTGTCCTGGTTTGGCTTATTCCCGTTCCATAAGGGAGCAGCCATACAGGCTCCTTTATGCTGCTAGACCTGCCTCCACGGCAGGGCTGTGTGTTGTACCACTTTCAATATACAGGCAGAGTTAAAGTGGTGTGTGTGTGCAGAGAAAGGCTCAGAGCAGCTGATAGATTGTCCCCTCTTTGGGACTGGGCTGTCATCCTGGTCTGGGTGTGTAGGGCATCCTGGCCCATGACTGCCACTCCTTCGCACACGGGCAATGCAAATAACAGGAATTGGGCTGTACTGAGCACGCTGTGTTGAATTGCCCCTTTGGCTACAGAAGGGAGCTGTGGGAAGGGGGTGGTGGGAGTGTGAACCCTGACAGTGTTTGTGCGAGAAGGCACTCTTGTATGCAGCACAGGGATTGCTGATGGGTGAGAGCCCCTTGCATATGGGAAGCTCTAGGATGGGATGGCGGGAGGAACAGCTGTGCAGGGGGAGAGAGAGACCAATAATACCTTGCTGTTCTGTGGCACTTTTCACCAGTAAATCTCACTGTGCTTTACAAAGGGGATCAGTATCATTATCACCCTTCCTGTTTGCTGGACTCCTGGCTTCAGTGGAGTAGTGTCCATTGAGACGATGGCCCTGGGGCTCTTTGGAGGAGAGGCATAAGAGGAAGGCACTGGAGGCATAAGGCGATACAGCAACATGACAGGGACACAGAAGGGAGACTAGCTGCTTATCACCCCCTTTCTTAACACAAACTCTGGCTCTGCACATGGCTGGCAGCAGCTGGGAAGCAGTAAAAGGGGCAGTTACCAGGAGCACCCACTGTTCTTAACAAGGGCAGATCAATGGGGGATTCCCTGTAATTCTCAATGGGGAGGGGGAAACAAAGCCTCTTCC